AATCGAATCGGAGATCAATTGTTGAATGATAGTTTGATTACATATATTGAGAAAGATTTATTTGACAAGATTAAAAATGATGTAATTATGAAACGTTATCAAAATATGAGAACACGTAGAGAACAACTGTAATAAAATATCTATTTCTTTAATTTTTTCGTTGCTTTTTGAAAGTTTGATTGTGACCCCAATAAAAAGTTTGCTCCGCCATGTACACCATGCTATGCTTGTGTACATGTAGAGTTCTAACATACTCTTCAAAATCTGTGGGTTTAAAAACAAAGTTTCGACCAATCTCACATGTTTGTGCGTTTTGGGATTATATCTACGACTTCCACTTTCTAGAGTTCGATTGGTAAACTCTCGCAGAATCATGATCAGCACTAGAAATTTGTTCAAATTCCTGGTAATAGTTTTTTGTCTTTTTGGTAATGGGTTTTGTCTACAAACAGACACCATTAACGCCGGTGTAGTGCTTAAAGATTCTGATACTATAATTTCCTTCAGCGAGTTTTTCACCTTGGGATTTTTCAGCCCCAATGGCACTACTCGGCGTTACTTGGGCATATGGTATAAAGTTTCTAAAGATACAGTTGCTTGGGTTGCTAATCGAGATAGGCCTCTCAATGATTCATCCGGGACCTTTTCGATATCCACAGATGGAAATCTTATAATCATGAATGGAAATAGAGAGATTATTTGGTCAACAAATGTTACATCAAATTCTACAACTTTCGGGTTGAATACAACTGTAAAGTTACTAGATACCGGAAATCTTGTCCTCCGGGATATCGCCGGCGGAACTACACTATGGGAAAGCCACCGGTATCCCACCAACACATTTTTGCCAGCAATGAGAATAATCCACAACACGAGAACAGGCCAAAGGGTATCAATAAATTCCTGGAGAAGTCCTCAGGATCCTAATTATGGAATTTTTTCTGCGGGTCTCTATGCAGTTGGGATCCCACAAATTTATATATGGGATAATGGTCGTCCAATCTGGCGCAGTGGTCCATGGAATGGCCGAGTTTTCACCGGAGTAACCGGCACGTACTCTGACTTTGTCGATGGATTTAACGTGGCAACTGAGGAAGATGGCACCTTAGTTTTCACACGAGCTTTTCGACAAAAGGCCTTAATGACGAATTATATAAATACCGAAGGAGTTCTTGTGGAAGCAGCGTGGGATGATCAGAAGAGAGATTGGAGTCCCACATGGCAAGCCCCAATAGATGATTGTGATTTCTATAACAAATGCGGTCCATTTGGAATCTGCTATGCAAACAATAGGCCAAAATGCAGTTGCTTAAAAGGGTATGAACCGAAGAACAGAGAGGACTGGGATAGGGGCAATTGGAGTGGTGGATGCGTGAAACGGACTCCCCTGCAGTGTGATCGAGATAATAATGCAACTGATAAACACAAACTGGATAAATTTTCGAAGACAACTCCGGTGAAAGTGCCAGATTTTATGCTGTGGTCGACCGGTATAGAAACTGAATGCGAAGGCCTGTGCTTGAGTAATTGTTCTTGCATAGCCTATGCATATGATCAGGGTATTGGGTGCATGTTCTGGAGTGGAAGCTTAATCGACATTCAAAAGTTCTCCAGGGATGCAGGTTCAGATTTCTTTGTTCGGGTGGCTTATTCAGAACAGGGTACTTTTGCTATCTTTAATTAACTATTTTTGCCCCATTATCTGCTTATTTTTATCTGTTTTCAGCTGAGAATAATTATTCTTTTCATTTTTATAGTACTTTGAATCACTTTAGTATTAAGCTAATGTTAATGAAGTTTTGAAGCATTGTCCCAATGCCTTTTATGCAAGTCATTAGTTCGTATGCTTGTTTTGTTTCAGATGAAAAGAAAGACAAGAAAGTAATTATCATAGCGTGTGTAGTCGCCAGTTTGGCTGCCACGGGCATTTGCATTTTTTTATCTTGGCGGTGGATGTCTAAGCAAAGAGGTGTGTATAAGACATTTGGATTGTTACTTAAGCACAAAAAATACCTCTCTCTTATAGATGGTATGTTTTCTTTCAAATTAGGCCAGCGTGTAACATTAGAGTATGGAGGAGGTGAAGTAGGCCAATTGGATTCAAGTGAAACCGTGCTTCGAAGTGAAACCATGGATAAAGTTAATATTGAAGAGTTACCACTATACAGTTTCGAGATGATTGATAACGCAACGAACAATTTTGACATGGCCAATAAGCTCGGAATGGGTGGTTTTGGTCCTGTTTTTATGGTAATGTATTGTGCTTATGCATAATGTCTAGTTTTAGTATTCATAGAATCTACAAATACTGAAATTGCTATTTGTTTGTAGGGAAAATGGGCAAATGGGAAAGAAATTGCAGTGAAAAGGCTTTCAACAGATTCTGGACAAGGGCTGGAAGAATTTATGAATGAAGTGGTTGTCATTTCTAAACTCCAACACCGCAACCTTGTTAGACTACTGGGATGTTGTGTAGAGAAAGGCGAAAATATACTCATCTATGAGTACATGCAAAACGGAAGCCTAGATGTCTTTCTCTTTGGTTGGCTCAACTTGATTTTATGTTACCTTTCCAATTTATTCCCATTTCAACTCGATATACTCACGATCAGATCATTTATGCAGATTGTTCTCATAACATTCTTGATTGGAGGAAACGTTTCAGTATTATTGAAGGCATTGGCCGAGGACTCCTCTATCTTCACAGGGATTCTCGATTGAGAATAATTCACAGAGATATGAAGCCGAGTAACATATTGCTTGATGAATATTGGAATCCAAAGATTTCAGATTTTGGAATGGCCAGAATATTCGGAGGAAACCAAGATCAAGCCAACACGAGAAGAGTCGTAGGAACGTAGTAAGTATTTGTTACTTTCATCCATTTTTAGTTTGTGGACAGTCAATACTAGTGTTGTTTAGTGATACAATCTTGTTACAGCGGATACATGGCTCCTGAATATGCAATGAGTGGCAAATTTTCAGAAAAGTCAGATGTTTTCAGTTTTGGCGTTTTAGTATTGGAGATTGTAAGTGGGAGAAGGAACACGAGCTTCTACGATGATGACATGTCTTTAGGCCTTTTAGGATATGTAAGTAAACTTTTCTTTACTTCTAAAGTTGTCCATTATAATATCTTCCTTTCTGATTCCATTGAAATTCTTCTTAATCTTTTCAAGTTGTGGAAATTATGGAACGAAGACGATGTTCTAGATTTGATTGATCAGAGAATATCAAGTCCAAGCTCATTGGCAGAGATTATGAGATGCATACACATTGGACTGTTGTGCGTTCAAGAACTTCCCGTAGATAGACCCTCCATATCAACTGTTCTGTCAATGCTTAGCAGTGAAATTTTTGACCTGCCGGTGCCTAAGAATCCTGGATTTACAGACAGGTGGAATAGGTCTCACTCTTCCAGCAAAACATCGGAATCTGCTAACAAAGTCACTCTTACTGTGCTCGAGGGGCGATAATAAGAGAGAATTTTGTAAACCAATCCATCTTTTCAGTTGTAAATATCAAGGTAATTTGGTTCATAACAATCACAAAGGAAATCATAGTTTTGCCAAGATTTTGTCTAGTTTTAACTTGCTATTTCTACATGTGGAGGGCAACAAATTTTTGAAAATCAGTAGGAAAAAAAGAGGTGTATACAAACATAACGGCATATTCCTCACGTTATTTTGAATTATAGTAAAGATTATGGATCAATAACTTATAAAATATGTCACATTTGTACCTCTGTCTCTTAATAGGAAGTTCGTAGTTTTTTTTAGTAGGGGAAAGCGTTACCCATGTGGGTAATGCTCAAACTACGGGTGGCCTTATCATTAGCAACCTATACCCATAAGTCTGCATGTAGAGTTTGAAGTTAAAAAATCAAGCTTATGTCATGGGAATTACCTTTCTATCTCTAGCCCCCTTGTTTTAATGGCTACGGTAGCTAGGCCAGGATCGGGGGCTCTCAAGCTCGTTATCGCTACTCAAACCCCTTCCCAAGGGTGCCGGCACTGCTTCCGATCTAACTTCTTAACTCATTATCTATCTAATTGTCTCTTCGGAACATTGAAGATATTATCCAGACCCCATCCCATGGTCTTGCATTTCATATTATGGACATTCTTCAATGAGATAGTCCATTTACTATAAAGAGAACACAAGCAGCAAGGGAAGATATATTTTATAATGTGCCTCTTCCTTGCCCCCAAGGAGCTACCAACTCAAGCAATGAGAAGATATAAAATTTTGTTGTAAATTCATTGTAAGTTCGTGAGTTAACTAATTAAGATGACAAAAGTCGAAACCAAAATAAAATTCAAGTGATAATTTTTGAAATAAATAGAAATGTCTCATTTCGAGTTCGGGGACAAACCACGCTTTTTTTTTTGTTAATAGTGAATTTTTGAAAAATGTGCCGTTAAAAAATAGAAAAAGAACTTTGAATTTACGTATAGAATATTTACTGTGCCATTGTTTGGTCACCATTATTTTCAAAATACATCTTTTTCTTTTTTATTTTTAACCACATATTTTTTAATATTATAATATTAAACGTAATTTCAAAATTTTTTAAATCACACATTTTTTTATTAAGATATTATTTCAAAATGTCAACTTCAGCTGCGCCAATGGTATCAGACCATACTATCAATTAGGTCTTCATTCTTTTAATATATATATATATATATATTTTTTTTTCTTATTGACATAACTAAGGGCGTGTTTGTTTTTTATTTGAGAATTGATTTTCAAATCAATTCTCATTTTCAACCACACATTCTTCAATAAAATAATATTTTTCATCATAT